ACACTTATCCATGTATTAATATTATTTGTATAAATAAACTTACTTAAATATTTTAATAAATTTATTACTATATTGTTAAGATTTTTTTACTATTTCATCATTAAAGCTTTAATACATATGTAAGTAACTTGTTAATATTATTACTACATGCAATTATTTCTTATTAGATCAAATATAGTAAATTTTATTGGGGTTTATAGAGTTCTACTATACATGGTATCAGAAGTTTTAACAAAAGAAAGATACATATCATCATCAGATATTATTCATTTGGTATAATTATGTAGGAAATTTTATATGGCCAACTGGTTACTTATAATTAAGAAAGTGGACCAGAACTTCAAACAAAAATAGAGTAGTCTAGATTATAGTTGTTAGATGAAACTGTTTTTTGCAAATGGCAAAACATGAAACCTAAATCTGGCAAAACATGAAACTTGTCGAAACTAAGATGAATGGTGAAACCCTTGGCGAATGGCGAAACCTTTGGTGAATGGCGAAACCCCTGGCAAATGGTGAAACTTTTGGCGAATAGCGAAACCCCTAGAGAAAGACGAAGTTTAAGCTCTCAGCAAGTTTAATTCTCTAAGGCTTTAAAAAAGACTGAGCCATGTTGGAGAATGAAATATATGCATCTATTAAGCATTGCATGCATGCATATGATTCATATAAAATATATGTACATATGTATGTGGCTATTAAGCACAACATGTGGCTCATACAAAGAAGCCATATTGAATTAAATATTTATATATGCTATCAAGCACAACATATAGCTTATATGAAGAAATATACCTAAGCATGTTGGTTAGTGAAATATTTGTGTATAGTTATTAAGTACAGCATGGGTTTATATAAAAAAATATATTAAAGCAAAAAAAAAGATTGCTTTGTGTTGTATTTAAGCACTTTTAGATTTCTAGGCTTTGAACTTATAATCAAATTAGAATTCCATTATCTGTTTATCCATTTATCTATCAGATACCAAGGATCTGAATTTATTCGGATATCTGTTTTACTATTGATATCTGGATATCAATAGTAAATAGATATCACATAAATTCAGATACAGATAAATGGATAGTGAATTTATCTGAATTGGAACTCTAAATCAAATCAACTCTAAAAATTCTAAGCCTGAAATCTTTTAATATTTTGTTGTCTAAACTTTAAGTATCATACATATGTAAGTAGTTTATTAATATTATTATTACTTACAATTATTTCTTAGTAAATCTTAAAGATAACTTTAATTGTTAGAGAAATAATTGTCATGTTATCGACTTATAATAAATTAAATATAGTAAAATTTAAAGCGTTAGAAATAAAAAACATTATGAATATGTGTGTGTTAAATTAAAATTTGCATTAGGCTAAAATTTAAATATTAGAGTTGAGATAAAAGTTTATGTTAAATAAATAATTAAATCCATTATTATTATTAAAGAAAGAGTTAAAACAATTAGATTTTAAAAATAATAAGTTAAGATAGAATATATATAATAATTGCATTCAAAAGTGAAAATGAAAAAGATTTATAACAAAATATTTAATAATAAAAAAAATAATTTAGAAGATGCTAATGTATTCAATAAACTTGAATACAATTATTATTATAGAATAGATGTTGAAAAAGATGAAAATAAGACATTTGTTCATTATCAAAAATCTGCTAAAATGGAAAATGCAGATACAATAAATAATGTTGAATAGTGTTATGAACTGAGCAAAATGATGAAAAAACTTCAAGTGCTTTGATTAAAAAATTTATTAAACATTTGCTCAATATCTTAAAAAAAAACTAATTTAGTTTTGGCAAAAAAACTTCTTTATTTAGTGATAGGAAATTTAGATAATTTTATTTATTTCTTGGCACAAATTAATTCTGAAATGCCCTGCAGACCAAACAAGCTATTTTAAGTAGTGTAGATTTATCTCAACATTAGATTACTTAATGGGCATTTTGGTAGGAGCAAGCAAGCAAAAATTGATGGACAAGGACATTAGCAATCAGGTCAACACAGGAGCTAAAAAAGATGAAAAAATTTATTTTTTACAGAAAATAATAGGAGAGACACAAAAGGAATTCCAAAAATTAGAAGGTTCTGATATGGTATAGGCGTTGAAAAGGATGAAACTAAGGCATTTATTTATTATCAAAAATCTGCTGAAATAGGAAATGCGAGTGCAATGAATAATATTGGAGGCTGTTATCAAAGCAGAATAGGAGTTGAAAAGGATGAAAATAAGACATATATTCATTATCAAAAATCTGCTGAAATGGAAAATGCAAGTGCAATGTATTATTTTGAACATTGTTATCAAAATGGAATAAGAGTTGAAAAGGATGAAAATAAGGCATTTATTCATTATCAAAAATCTGGTTAAATGGGAAATGTGAGTTCAATAAATAATATTGAAAACTGCAATCAAAAGGAATAGGAGTTGAAAAGGATGAAATTAAGGCATTTATTCATTATCAAAAATCTGCTTAAATGAGAAATGTGAGTGCAATGTATTGTCTTGGACATTTTTATCAAAATGAAATATGAGTTGAAAAGGATGAAAATCAGGCATTTATTTATTATTAAAAATCTGCTGAAATGGGAAATGTGAGTGCAATGTATTGTCTTGAACATTTTTATCAAAATGAAATATAAGTTGAAAAGGATGAAAATCAGGCATTTATTTATTATTAAAAATCTGCTGAAATGGGAAATGTGAATGCAACATATAGTTTTAGGAATTGTTATCAATATGAAGTAGGGATTGAAAAGAATAAAATAAAACATTTGCCTATTATCAAAATTCAGCAGATATGGGCTATCTTAATGGAATGTTTCAAGTTGGTTATTGTTATTGAAATGGAGTTGGAGTACCAAAAGATTTGCAGAAAGCTAATTATTGACATAAAATGTAAATAATTTATTTACCTACTTATTTATTTTTTATAGATAATTGTAATTTTATAATATTATTTTTCAAATCATAACTAGGAAAAAAGATAAGAAATTAGGTAATTTAAATTCTTATTATTTGATTCATTTTTGAAATTATTTAAGATTTACTAATTGATATTTTTAGATGCTAATGACTTGATGCATGAAAATTTTGATATTGATGATGATATAAAAAAATTCATTGTTAAACTTATTAATATGTATTATCTTAGTTAAATAAATTATTTTATTTATAAATATTAGAGCATGTAAGCAAATGTTGTAATTAGTCGTTATTATGATGAATTACAACAAATAATGCCATAATTCATTATAATTACAACCAATTATGACATTGCACTCATCTTTATATATGATTAAAACCAAGGAAAAATAATTTAGACTTATTATTTTTCAAATCGCTCATTATTGGGTAATATAATAACAAACATTGTAATGAATCAATTAACATCACCAAAATAGTATCGGTCAGGATTTTAACCAGTTGGTCATAACTGTAACTGACCCACCCCTACCTATCAGGATGATAGTCAGAAAAATTCACATTCAGATTAATGTTGCACATAGTTAAACTTTATTGACACATTTATTTATACTTATGTGCTTTTATTGGTATTTTTATTTGCACTTTAACAATACTCTCGAATTCTGCATTGATCTAGAAGGTTTGCATGAAGCAGCAGAGACAGAATACTCATAATTGTATTTCATTGTATTTATTGCTAAGTACCTTCTCAATAAGAGACAAAATGCCTTTTTCCAGTTTCATTACCTTTTGCCAGTTTCATCACCTTTCGCTAGTTTCGCCACCTTTCGCCAGTTTCACCACCTTTCACCAGTTTCGTCACCTTTTGCCAGTTTCGCCACCTTTCACCAGTTTCGCCATTTCGTCTTTTAAATTTTTTTTGGCGAAAGTCGAAACTAGGTTTCGCCATTTACTATTGGCAAAACCTCTGGGTTTTGCCTAACAACTATATTTCCAATATTCAATTAAGGTCCCACGGGTCAGAAAAGAACAATTTTATGGATTCATTAGTAGAAAGAGAAGAAAAAAATACATGATGATAAAAGAATATTTTTCAAAATTTATTTATTATTATTGGCATTATTAATACAATAATAAGCTATCATTGATTATAATATGATCTGCATTAAGAATTAACATGGGTCATTTATCAATCGGTAAAAATTGAAAAATGACAAGTGTCAATTAATAATTAATGTAAATTGAGAATAACGCATAACAGATATACTGTATGTAGATATATATACAGTAAATTAGTATTTATTGTTAATTATTCAAACTTGTTAATACAATAAAATATACAATTTGTAAACAAAAACTTATTATGAAAGTATATTACAAAAACTAAACACTAAAGTACAGTTGTTAGGTGAAACTGTTTTGTGCAAATGGTAAAAAACAAAACCTAACTTGGTGAAAGATAAAAGTGATGAAACTTTAGCAAAAGGTGAAACCTCTGGTAAAAGTCAGACGTGTTGATGAATAAAAAATATTTTGTATGTGACTATTAAGCACTGTATTTGATTTATATAAAGAAATGTACGAAGCAATAAATAAGATAATAGCTTTTTGTAAAAAAAAATTAGACTTCAGGCTTTTGAACTTACAATTAAATAAACTCAGACTTGAAAATTTAAAGCCTAAAATCATATATTTTTTTAGAAATGTTTATCTATGTATTATAATTATTTAAATAAAATTATTGGGCTGGAGTGAAGGGGAGCAGAGTGGAAGACCTTTGAGCCATACTCATAGAGATTTTGCTGATGTCTGGCTCCTGCCCCCATAATTGTGCTGCCAACGATCCTCTGTAAAACTTTAATCAGCAATCCGATCATTGAACAGAAAATAAAAGCAAACTAAGCAAACTGATTAATAAACTGATTAATGGTTCGATTTATTGAATTTTTTACATTGAAATTTACAATTACGATAAAATGCAAAAATACAAAAGAACTTATACGCCTGAACAAAAAGCCACATGAAATGATGCCAGAAGAAGAAGATTAGCTTCAATGGCACCTGAAGAACAGCTAAGTTATCGAAATAATGAATCAACAAAAAGGCAAGATCAGTGAAAGCGGAAAAATTCTATTAGTGAAAAAGAAAATATAGATCAAAATGACGAATATACAAATAGTAATGAACAGACAAATGATAAAGAACAGATAAATAATGATGAGCAGACAAATAACAGAGGTAATATATCTAAACGTAATGGTAATATTTATTTACAACCTCATTGTAAATCCGTAAATTTTATTGAATTTCTACTTTTAGAAAATCGAAATATTTCGTCATTGCCACTCGCCTGCCATCTTTCCGAGGATGATCGCAACCTTCTAAACAAGTTTCGAGATGCAGTTTCTGCACTTAAATTTAATTCCTGTTCTGTTTGTAAAGAAAGTTTCCCTACTATTGTATTAGTACAAACGACAGGATTATGTAATCGATGCAATAAAGATAAATGGATACCAAGAAGATTTTCAGCTGAAAATGATATGGATCCTGGTAAGTAAAAACACATATTATATGGTAACAATAGATTACCAATTAATATATTATTTTTTTTAGGAGAAATTCCTATTGAACTTCCTCAACTTAGCCAAATCGAGGAAATGCTCATTGCACAAATACTTCTTATATTAACCGTTTATAAGCTTTGAGGTAGACAGCTCAGATATCGAGGAAATGTAATCAATTTTTCTCAAGATATTCAAGAATTTGTTATCAAGTTACCTTGAAATCCTTCTACAATTGATACTTTGATTGTTCGAAAGTCTGGAGAGGATCTTACTTCATTTCAAGAATTTAAAGTTAAATGATTGAATATTTTAACTTGGTTGACATATCTCAAAAATAATAATCCGTTTTATTTTAATATTGAAATTGATCAAAATATTCTGCAAACCCTTCCAGAAAATGGTTCAATATATGATCGATTGTGTACTGTACATAGCAATGATTTAGTTGTCGAAGAGAATCCTAATGATACTTTAAACGCTTCTGATGACTATATTAAACATACTTTTATACCTAATCCTGCTACTAAAGAAACTGAAGAAGTCACAACTTATATTGAAATTAATCAACTTGCAAACACAGACACCAATACATTAATTGACTGGCCTACTATTAAAGATAGTCCGATTAATAAATTTGAAGAAGTCAGTTATATAACTAAAGCATTTTCTACTTTATTTCCTAAAGGAAAAGCAGACTTGCATAGTACTAAATGGCATTGAAGAGTATATCCAGCTGAATATTTTGAACATTTAATAAAATATTGTGATGGACGATTTGCACAACATAAAAGATTTTGATATTTTGTATTAAACTCTATTATGAGATGAAGAGTGCTTGAAAATGGCAAAATATATGTACGTCAAAATTTGGAAGATGCGTATTTGACAGTGGAAGATATTCAAGAATTACTTAATACTAATAATTCATTAGTAAATCAAATTGTTTGGTACGGTAATACTCTTTGAGGGATGCAGCCTTATTGGAAAAAAATGCATTATGAACTTATTGATATGATTAAGCAAATCAGCACAGATGGATTAATTTTTTTTACATTTAGCTTGGCTGATTTACATTGGCCTGATCTACATAATCTTATGCCAAATACTAGCGTTAGTTCTACGCAAGCTACTCAGTATCATAATTTAAATGAGAATCCTCATATAGCAACATGGTTTTTTACATGTCGATTTGAATTATTCTTAGAGCACGTTCTAATACCTAAATGGAATCTTAGTGACTATTGGTACCGGTATGAATGG